GGGGCGCCTTTCCAGCCCCCGTTGCTCCACGGTGGTCCGCGACATCCTACATTCCGCAGCCAAACGGGGGGCTTACCCCGCCCGCCGTCCTCGGGGCGAAGGCTCCAATTCCCCCGCCGCTTGCCTTCTTCCACATGCCCCTTCCCATCTTCCGCCCGGGGCGGCGTTTAAAACTCCCGCCGCGCCCAGCGCCGGAGGGTGACGTGCTCCTGACGTCACCAGCTGACTCCGTCCCTCCCACACATCCTACATTCCGCAGCCAAACGGGGGGCTTACCCCGCCCGCCGTCCTCGGGGCGAAGGCTCCAATTCCCCCGCCGCTTGCCTTCTTCCACATGCCCCTTCCCATCTTCCGCCCGGGGCGGCGTTTAAAACTCCCGCCGCGCCCAGCGCCGGAGGGTGACGTGCTCCTGACGTCACCAGCTGACTCCGTCCCTCCCACAGCGTCTGTGCCGCCGCCACCACCCCTGAGGTGGTCAGCTGTTCCGCAGTGCGAGTACACCCAGCACAATGCCGGTGTGCGCTCCCCTGCCGCCTGAATAGGGCTTTTGCCATGGGAGTTTTTAGAGCCGGGTTGCGGGGCCCCGTCACACGGACCCAGACAACTGGAGTCACCTGGGAACTTTCAGGTTCTTTAGTTCATGATGCCCTGCAGGGATTAATATCCAGGAATTGAGGAAACAGTTTGAAAGAGCCAGACAAGTACCTAGAAGTTACCTACTTGAAGACAGGCTCAACAAGGAAAATAAGAGAACATCACTGGTCATCATCTACAGCCCCCAGCTTAAACCCCTTCAGCACATCATTGACACTCTACAACCTATGTTGGAAAACACTCCTCAGTCCTTGGTTTGTGGCCTGTGTTATGTTGGAGATCAGATTAAATTATCATAATGGTCCCTTCTGACCTTAAATCTATGATAATTATTAGAAAACTAGAAAATTCAGAGTCATGCTTACAAGTAACTGAAAAGAATGTATTCTTGTAAAACACTGAAAATAAGAAATTATAAAATCCCAAAACATACGAACATTTCAATGTATCAAAATTCACAGAGTACCCAAAATAGTTTGCTGTGTAAAGATGCCAGGTGTTCCCACTGTTTCTTCTTTGTGAATGAAGTGCATCACAGAACACTGGTTTTTAAAATTGCATTCATACGTACAACATCAAACTAACCTTTTTCTCTTTTCTTGTCATAATATCTTGAATGAATAGTCTTGCTGTAATGACTCTATGTAGTCATGCTACCATGTTACATAGTGACAGATTATTGGCTGTCACATGGAATCATAGAACCATAGAACTGGAAGAGACCTCAGAAGGTCATCTAGTCCAGCCCCCTGCTCTAGGCAGGACCAATTCCAACTAAATCAACCCAGCCAGGGCTTTGTCAAGCGGAGACTTAAACACTTCTAGGGATGGAGACTCCACTGCTTCCCTAGGTAACCCATTCCAGTGCTTCACCACCCTCCTAATGAAATAGTTTTTCCTAATATCCAACCTGGACCTCTCCCACCACAACTTGAGACCATTGCTCCTTGTTCTGCCATCTGTCACTACTGAGAACATCCTCTCTCCATCCTCTTTGGAACCTCCCTTCAGGAAGTTGAAGGCTGCTATCAAATCCCCCCTCACTCTTCGCTTCTGCAGACTAAACAGACCCAAGTCCCTCAGCCTCTCCTCGTAGGTCATATGCTCCAGCCCCCTAATCATTTTGGTTCAAATGCATCCACATCCTTTCTGTAGTGGGGGGCCCAGAACTGGACACACTATTTCAGATGTGGCCTCACCAGAGCCGAATAAAGGGGAATAATCACTTCTCTGGATCTGCTGGCAATGCTCCTCCTAATGCACCCTAATATGCCATTAGCCTTCTTGGCTACAAGGGCACACTGTTGACTCATATCCAGCTTCTCATCCACTGTAACCCCCAGGTCCTTTTCTGCAGAACTACTACTTAACTAATTGGTCCCCAGCTTGTAACTATGCTTGGGATTCTTCCGTCCCAGGTGCAGGACTCTACACTTGTCCTTGTTGAACCTCATCAGATTTCTTGTGGCCTAATCCTCCAATTTGTCTAAGTCACTCTGGACCCTATCTCTGCCCTTAAGCGTGTCTACCTCTCCCCCCAGCTTAGTGTCACCTGCAAACTTGCTGAGGGTGCAATCCATCCCCTCATCCAGGTCATTAATAAAGATATTGAACAAAACCGGTCCTAGAACCGAACCTTGGGGCACTCCGCTAGAAACTGACCGCCATCCTGACATCGAGCCGTTGATCACTACCCGCTGGGCCCGGCCTTCTAGCCATCTTTCTATCCATCTTACCAATCCACCTTCCCTTAACTTGCTGGCAAGAATAACAGTGAATTGTGTGTGGCATCTTATCTATCTTAAGTTATGATTGGGGAAAGATTTTCTTCATTATGCTCTTGCTTTAACCAAGAATTTTTAAAATATTACTTTACTTGAAAGAGAGCCATGGTTCTGTTGACTTTACTC